TCTCATAGCTTTATTGAGTAACTTGGGATGTTTAGTGGCTACGACTACACCTACCGTTACCATAGCTCCATCACCATCGAACCCACCCAAATGCAATACTGAAACTCCTTATATAGCGGTACCGGCTAATGTGAGTTGCAGTTTTCATTCGTTTTTGATTTTATACTTAAATTTTTAGATCACTAGCCCTAACTATCCCAATAACTTTCCACCATATGCAAGGTGTTTCTACACTCTCACTACTGATACCTCCCACAGGTATACTAAAATGTTGCTTAAATACCGTTCGAACTCATTGCAGGCGATTATTGCTGTTTTAGAATAAATCTGACATTTGGAGCAATAGACACAAACAAGGAAGATACTATTGCCGTTCTTGATTATCATACCGATAACGTCTATTACTTTTTGGACATGTAGGTTATATGTTTTCACACGAAAACTGTATTATTCTATAATCTAATCTAAAGGTAATCATCCATTTCTCATCTAATTTCAGCTTCAGTGGACAATTCCCAGCCGGTAACAAGTCCTTCACTTCAACATGGTATCGGATGCTTGTGGAATTTTTCTCGGAAGGTGGTGCGGGAAGGAAGGGATTCTCAGCCGTAGCTGTACCTATTGCTTGAGAAATCCATCTTACAATTGTGTTTCATATGCTAGAAGGGATGGATGGATCTTATCACTTTCTTCCTTGGCTGCTCGTTGGTTTTTTCTGATATTGTTGAAGTTATGTTAAATTAGTTTTTGTCAATTTGTAAAAATGTATATGTAAGCCCATTTTGTGCAGAACTGGGGGGTTTACAGCATCATATGCACGTAAAATTATTTCTCAAAGACCTGTACTCACACTCGGTTCAATTTTTTTCACACCAGCGTCATCGTAATGTTAAATATTATAACGGTTGTTGAAAGGCGAGAGCTTCTAGGTAAAAGTTGGTTAAGAAAGGTAAACAGAGGCAAACAAGTTTTGAGAAAATAAAATAAATTTGAAATACAATTTAGAATACTAGAAAACAAAATCTTATAAGATAAAGTTCCTAAATATAATTATCAAAATGATCCAAATAATCGAAAATTATAGTCATTAAAGTCTAAAAATAATTCAAAATATTCATCATTTTTCTATTGTGTGCAGCTGTTTTTTTGGTGAACGTAGCAAGGAAAGTATTGT